AACTCTAAATATGATTTTAGATGTCGCAGAATATTAATTGCCATCTTACAAAGCAACTTAAACCCCTTAAACAGACAAGTAAAACTGCTATCAATTCCAACAGAAAAGGATGCCACCATGGTATTGGAAGTGTGCTTTGATTAGATGTATATTACAATGGCTTAATTTTATAAGTGATGCTTATCTGACATCAATCACTTTTTTCCAAAACTATTTTCTCATGTAAAAGGTTCATGGGTATGTCAGAAAAGTCCACTGATACTGTTCTGCTCACTGCATACATGTCTTTGCTCCATGATTAATGAAGATTGTGTTTGTATGTATTTAGGAATCACTATGTTCCTGTTTTAGGAACGTTACAAACAGATATTTTTACTTTTGAACAAAGACCTCTTCCCAGATGTTCTGATTTGTCTCAGTGCTAATCTCGGGATCACTAAACCCATTTCTTCCCGGTGATGATAATCCATGACAAATCAAGTAATTGTGTCTATTCTTTCTTAGTGGCACATTTCAAAATATCTGTCTTGAGCACCCCTTGAAACTATGGAATCACATTTTTCAGAGACTATTTTAAATTTCATTAATGCTTAATTTTTATTAATGTTAAAAAGTGGGGACTAGAAGCTAGGCTGGTAACCATTATGCTCCCACAAATCATGTTGTTTTGTGCTTAGATGATTCTATCCCCAATGTATGTACCATTTTTTTTTCTATTCCCATCTGGACTACGGAGTAATTGCTGGTGGTCCTCAAGTCACTAAGGGAATGCATTTGATTACGTCCGTGGTAAGTTGGACGTATTTCACTGAACAGACCTAACCTACCAAACTCAGGAGTTCAGTCACATGGCACACTGTGGTATCAGTGGTTGTTTCTCTTGTGGTTGTGTGGTCAGCTGGGAGCTATGGCTCACTGCCACTGCCCAGCATCACAAGAAACCATTGTACTACATATAGCTAGGCTAGGGAAAGGTCAAGATTCAAATTCTTGAAGCATAGTTTCTCCTCAATTTGTTTTGTTTTTGTAGCTTTGCAAAACTGATCAGGTTAAATCACTGTGAGTTTGGGCCACTTGTATTTCAGCCCTCTCCTGCTTGCCCAGCATGGCTACATCACACCTGTACTTTTACCTTAGTCTTTCCCAAAAGTCTACTTTCTCATATCAATAATTCCACACTTGAATTCTTTCACAGCTTCCCACTGCTGGCTTGGGAAACTTTAACTTTGAAATAAGCATGAGATTTAGGACCCTGCTGTTTGGTTATAATGTCTTGTTTCATTTTTATTGTCTTCTGCTCGGCCACATGAATCCATAGATTCCAATCAAAGTGAGATGTTAAAATCTATATGGTACAACCACACCTAATTCTCAGGGGTTGTTGCGGGAGAGGGCTTGGAAAGTAACAGGAAGTTTGCTATTGTAACTTGTAACAGTTGTAACGCAGAGTCTCCTAGAAGTGTTAGGGTCACAACACCCATGAAGCCTCACCAACATGGCTGCCTACATAAGATCTGAACAAGGATGACATCAATAGATAACACTAAGGAACAGGAAAGCTCCTGAGGCCTGAACCCAAGACAAAGAACTACAGGCAGCTAAGGAATGCTGAGAGTGAGAGAAATAGTCTTTCTCAGGGGAAGAGCATACCAATTAGTCATCCAGTACCAAACGGTCATCCTTGAGAACATATACATACCAGTAACACTATATACACTGAACAGGCAATGTTTATATATTCAGATAATTATGTATGTGTATATACATATACATATATATATATACATATATAACAATATTCAAAGAAAAAGCAGCTATGAATCTGAGAAACAGCCGGGAGTTACAAGGGAGGGTCTGGAAGGAGGAAAAGGAAGGAGTGGGAGTCATGTAACTATAATCTCCCAAACTAACATTATAACCAAACTTAAAAATAAAATAAAAACTTGGAAGTGTCTAAGGGATCAAAGAAGACCAACAGAAAGGGGGAGGGGCGAGAAAATGGAGGGTAGGGAGGTTCGGAGGAGAGTGTGCTCAATACACAATACGTAAATCTATGTGTGTAGAAATGTGTTTCACCAGGTATGTGTGAGAGGGGTAGTCTTATCTCCTCTCTTGCAGCCTCCTGTGCCCCCGTGCAGACTGTGCTGCCCCACCCCACGTGAGAGCATATGCCCTTCATGACCCTCTCCACTCAAGTGTTTTTGATGAATCTTCTTCTCTCCCAGTTTCTCTTAGTAGAGCGGCATCTTCCTGACAGCTCATATCAAGGATAGGCGTTATTGTGTGACACCATCTACACTGACTTATTGCAGCATTAATTCATTCTGTTTCTAAAACGACAACGGGATTCACAGTGGAACCTCATATTACTGCATGCCAGTGAAAAATACAGTGAAAGCACAAAGCCACATGTGGGAAAGAGTAAGTAAAATGCGCTAACAAAAATTTAAAAATCTAGCTACACGTGTCCTGGCAGTCAAGGCAAAACTAAAGCAGCCATTGGTGGTTGTGTGTGTGTGTGTGTGTGTGTGTGTGTGTGTGTGTGTGTAAGATTAAGATTTTAATAATATGTGTACATCTTGTCTTGTTAACAGTAACATTTCTATCTGCTGGATTTATTTTAAGACTTAAATAGCAAGAATCCAGCCTAACACGTTGTAACAATATAATAAGTTGATTGGTAATTCGTAAAAGAATCATACATTTTAAAGCATTTCATTTACTTTCAGGTTCTAGTCCCATGTAATCAGTATGTAAATGAACATAATAAGAAAACATAGAAATGTCAGAGGAAGAATGATGAGCCAAGCTTTAATTACTTCAGTAAAAAGAAATTTAAGAGGATAGTCAAATCATAATAATTTTAGGTAAATGTGTATATGCTGATAAATCATTATGTGGAAAGGCAGAAATCTATAAGGAAACAATTTCATTGGTGATCAGATCTATATTTAAATCTATCCTCTTGTTGCCAGTGGGGTAGGTGATCATGCTCTATGTTATTGAAACACAAGGTTCTGGAGCCTTCCCACGCCTCCATACTTGATGTATAGCACTGAAAGGCCTTGAACAATGAACTCTGCTGTTCTCTATACTTTAAACTTGGGTCTCATTTCTTCTCAGCATACAGAGTCTGCTAAGTTGTGGTTTTCAGCTTGATGTGAAGGTATTCGTGAAAAGCAGGGGGCACTCTAGCTAGACGTTTCTAGCAGACATTTTTATGATGATGGAACTTTTCTAGCTAATACTGTGAGGAAGGGGAGGAGCCAAATGTTCAGGGGTAGCCTGGGTCTCTCTTGGCAGAACAAGTGTCTCCGAAGACATCTTCTTCAGCAGGGCATCTGCCTAACTCCTGCCCAATTCTTTTCTCAAGGTGAGTTTTTCTTGTCTGCCTGACTTTCTGGATTTGTTCCTAGTGAACTGGTAAGCAGGCATTGCTGTAGCTCTTTCATTTGTCTAGTTTGGGGATCCCCATGTTCACTCTTGAAATGGTATTTTGCAAACTGCTCTTTCCTCCAAGGCTGTTATGCCTTTTTTCCATCTGTGTTGAAGTCTCTTTTCCCAGTGTGGCCTTCTTTCTCCACTTAGTCATGCTGTGTGTTAGACCCACATCCACACGGCTGGCCTCTCTGAGTCATCCCAGGAGGCTAGCTGGCTCCAGGGAATCCCTGTCATAGCACATTGCAACAGCTGGGAGGGTCCAGTGAAAAGAGCCAATCTGAAATCCTGAAATCTGCTTCTATCCTTGACCATAGCTGCACAAGAAGGGGAAAAGCAAAATGCCTTTTCCCCTCTAAGGAACTGTGGCTAATAAACAGATTTTAGCAATCATAACTTCCAATTTATGAAGTGCCTTCATTGCTGGTTTTAAATATTCCACAATCTGGCCAGGAGAAAATGGTCTAATTTTCCTTTTCCCTCTACCAGCAAACCAAGAAAGTCACTTTTGACAGGTACACCCTTCCTCCGGTTGTAGATTAAACCGTTTCTCTTTCTGAGATACATTATTCATAAAGGTGAAACTGTCCTGGGTCCCTCCCATCCATAGATAGGAGGCTGTGGGCGGAAACTGTGTTATGGGGTGGGCAGGCCAGCATCTTCCCACTGGAACCCCAGAAGCCAGGATTTTCCTTGGCCCTCAAGGCCACTCTGAGGAAACCATATGCCAAGGACAGCTCAGGTCCAGGATTTCTCAACCCACAGGGATTCAGACAATAAATTCCTTGAGCTAAAATTGTTAAAAAGGTCAAAGTTGAATAACAAAATGATAATGAAAGTCAGACCAAATGTGTCAAGTCCACATTTGGCTAACAAGCCAGGAAAGTAATGTATTTGAAATCCCAGCAAGTACATCCTGAAGGTGTAAAATGAAGCCCCAGCCTGAAAGTTCTGTTAGCCCAGGGCAGGCTGACCTTGGCTGTCGCCACAGATGCATCTGTCCACATGTGATTAGAGCGATCCAGAAGTCAGGAGGCGGAAATCATGATCCGTTTGGTAAATTGGCTTACGCACGCACACGTGTAACTATTTGTGTATATGGAACATACACATAAAATATGTACATATATCTGCATATGTTATCGGGCTTAAACATTTCCACGAATTTAATATATTTAAGCTAATTATTTGTAGATTATTTAGCTGAAGGAATATGCTCATTCTGTCACCAATGGCACAAAGTCTCACACAATTATTTTACCAACATGTAAAGGACCTGAACTGGACTTTTAACCTGGCAATGGACCAAAATTATCTTCCCTTCTCATGTATGTGTGTGTGGCAGGGGGAGGGGGCACCTGTGGCTGAGGTTCTGTGAACTCCCACAATTCCTGCTGAACCAGCCAGCCGGAGGAGGAAGGCAGATGCGACATTTCTGAAAAAGCAGGAGCTCATTCACAGCCAAGCCCAGGAAACAGTGCCTGTCTGTCAAAACTATTCAAAACTGCACAATTTTTCTCGGGAGAGGGGGTTGTAGTGCCCAGACAGCCACCAACGCTTACCTTGACCACGTCGTCGTTGAGATGCTTGGGGTCCCTGTTGACCAGGTCAATCTCCTTGGTGTGCGCGTCATACACTTGCTTCTCATTTACCTCGTCTGCCATGGCCTTGTTGTTGGGCTTGTAGATGTTGCCCTGTTCCCGGATGGGAACCGTATAGAGATGTCCCTGCGAGGGCAACCGGCCAAGCCAGGGGAGGGCAGCAACGGGCGATGGGAAGAAAAGTTCAGAAAGAAAAACAAGCGTCAGGAGTCAGCCTGGCTGGGGGGAGGGGGAGATCCTGGAGCTCCAAGTCTTGCAAGCTTCCACCTCGAAGGAAAGGCTTTACGCACAGAAAACTCCAGCGCTGCAAGCTTTTTAAGAGGACGGAGGGGAGGACACCACACCCCTCGGTACCAGGCTGGGAGCGCCTGCCTCTCGCGCCGGCCGCCAGGGGTCAGGGCGAAGCCCCGCGCGCGCCCTCCCGCTCCCCGCCGCTCCCGGCCACGGTTCCCCAGCCCGCGGGCTCGCCTTCTGCCGGCTCTGTACACCCACTCTCCTCCACGCCACCCGAGCTGTCGCCACAACCTCACCTGCTCCCTCCGCTGTCCCTCCGTGACCCGTTAACCCTGCCCCACGGTCCCTTCCAGCCTGACTAGCAAGATCCGGCTGGACCATGCTGACAGACTTAGTGGTCGCATCCTGTGTCCCTCGCACCTGCTGCATCCCCTACCCTTCTTTTACCCCACTTTGCTCCACGGTTTTTCTGAGGCCATGGGCGCGAATTAGGTGGGTCACAATCTAACATGCTTCCATCTCTGAGCAGAGGCATGTGCCAAGAACCCCCCCCCCCAAAAAAAAATGCCCTAGAAGGACATCTCATCTGAAGGACTCTCTAACCCACCCTTACTGAGATCACGCCCAGGCTGTCTGCCTGAGGCTGAATGTAGTCACGTTTGGGAGCCAAGGTCTCCAAGGTTAGGGCACCTGAGTGCCAAGAAGTAGCTGACAATGGCTGTGGTACTGTGAGGAGGGAGGCTCCCCATCCTCGGAACTCCTCTGGGGACGCCCAGGGCGCAGAAAGAGTTGTTGAAGGTTTTGAGAACTTTGCTAAGTGTAATACACACACGCGCCGCTGCCCAAGCCAGACACTTTAGGCTCCTGGTGGGGACTGTTCTCCAGACTGCGAGCAAATGAAACCCTCTCTCCCTCTCCGAAACACACACACACACACACACACACATACACACACACACACACACACACACACACACACACACACAAGTGCCAGCTCTCAGTCTCCCAGTAGGTAGAGGCTGGACCGCACGGCGGCGGGGGGGGGGGGTGTCTTGCCAACTGTGCCATCTGGAAAACTTTTCTAACTGCAGACTCGCAACTCAGGACCCGGGGTCCTCTCCCCCCCCACCCCCCGTGGGCTCCTTTGGTCCCCTCTCCGAAAATAAGCACTAAGACATTCCTGGCCTTTCGGCTCCCCACCCAGCCCATTCTTCCGCAGCGGTGCCAGCTCGAGGGGGAGTGCTGAGAAGGTGGAGAGAGGGCTGGGGCTAGGAAAGCAGCCCGAGCATTTGGAGTGGGAGATAGCAAAAGCAGGCACTTTGGAGCCGGAGGCGCGCCCTCACCCAAGCCTACCTCGGAGTCTACGTATTTGCCCCCAGACATGCTGGCGCGTGGCTGGCTGCCGGCTCTGAGGAGGTTTCCCTGGGCTGTGATTTAAGAGAACTGAGGAAGGAAGATCTTGTATTGTATAGGGGGGAAAGGCGCTGCCGGGGGGCGGTGGCTGGGAGGGAGCCTCTTGGCGGCCGGCCAGTGGTTTGTTCTGCTCTCAGTTGGCTAGGACGTGCTCTGCGCTGGGTCTAGGCACATCCCCAAGGTTCTGGCAGCAGAGGGCGGGGAGCGCCCGAGGGGAGCTGAGAGCCCGTGAGAAAGCCTTCATCAGAGCTAGGCTGTTAGAGCAGATATTTTAGACTCGGGGCAACGTTTTCCCAGCTATAAACCAACAGAGAGGCATCCAAGGGAGAGCGCCTGTTTTCCCAGTGCATCATCTCAGCGG